TGAAATATAGGCGCCCTTATAGTGCCAAAAGCTACATACGTTATACTTGTGCAGTTAAAACATCCTCAGATTCGGTAATATTTGCTCAGCAGCCTTGAACTTCGCTGCTGCGGATTCTAGAAGGCCTCATATGTTGCGAAATATGCCGTCACGCACAACGGATACCGCTAGTGTTTGGAAGACTTTCATTTCGTATAAAGGTGTATGACGAAAATATTTGTTGGGTTATCTCCCGCGAAGGCCATGGCCGATTCCCGTTCTTCTGCAACCGTTTGGCTTTATTACGAGATTCAGGTTAATTCAATTCACAAGATATCCTCCCTTGTTTCGGGCGAAAACAGGCTGAGCTCTCATGTATCATATGAAAGGCATCATCATAGCTGGATCTCATTCATGTAAAAGTCTCAAGTTTTCGCGAGATTACGAAGACTATACGGCTTTATCTTACCTCCTTTATGGACTCATAAGAAAAAAACGGAAATATATTTTTGTATAGTTAGATAGATAGATCGAATGATTCGACTAGTTCTCTTTCCCATTGTCAGGGGACTTTTATTTGTATGTGTTTGTCAGGTCCAAAACATGACTTTAACTTTGCGAACGAGGGATTTGCCCAAGTTGTTTCCTAATGAGGCGGATGAGGCCACATAACTGTAGCCCAGGTGATGAGGCAGAATCCCATTATGCTTACCCACTGAATTCCATCTGCCGGCGTCTTGCTCAACCCGTTCGAGTCCTCTTCTGTCCGAGAAATGCGATTCTTTTTGCACCTGTTTCATGAGCTGTTTCTGGTCCGATCGTGGTTCTTTGCCGAGGACTGAGAGCTTCGGCTTGTCTGGCTCCTGTTCACGAAGGCCAATGGGCTTCAGCCTCTCCTGGCACAACACTTCCGACCCGGCCTGGTCGGTGAGGGTGGCAATGGATGTGGTCGAAGAGGTCATCATTTCGCCACATGTCGACTCAGAATGGAGAACGTCGCCCGGTGGCAATGCACTACAGGAAGGACTGTTTGTGAGTGATGGCTCTGACGGCTGAAATAATAAATTTAGCATAAATCGTATTAGTGTGAGATTACTTTATCTGAGGGTGTTATGCCAAATAATGCTAGCCACACAAAATTGTCATACAAAACTATATTTAAGATGTATTCACCTTATTTCGTTTTAAGGTGATGAAGGACTGGTCGTTGAATTTCCCCACAATCATATGAGTAGAAATAGTGTTTTTCATTGAATTTCACACAGCCTTGCTCTCCGAAAAGGTGTTTTCATCCAAGCAGAAGTGGATTGTAGTTTCGACCTCGCATCGGTCTTATCAACACCCACAGCGGGAGTCGAACCGTGACAATGCAGCATGTGAACTTTCCGCGTCAACCACTCGGCCACATTGCCACGAGTGTCATTGGGTCACAGGGCAGATGTGAATTTCAAGGAAGGCCAGGCCTTTTGCCATATCACTTTCTTTGGTTTGATTGCCGATGAAGCAAACGTATTTTTGCTACCAGTAAATCATTTATATGAGATGTAGTCTTTACTAGATGATGGTAGTCTCGAAACTCTATTTATATACCAAAAAACAAGTAATGTAGTTGATTGTTATAACAAAAGTACGTTTGCTTCATCGACACTTCCACCAAAGAATGTGATATGGTAAATTGCCTGACCTTTCTTGATATTCACATCTGCTCTGTGACCCAAGAGCAATCTTGGCAATGTGGCCGAATGGTTAACATGTCAAGCTCACATGTTGTACTGTCACAGCTTGACTCCCGTTGGGGCTGTTGATAAAACCTATGCGAGGTCGAAACTGCAGTCCACCCCGGATGGGAAGCACTTTTGGGAAAAGCAAGGCTCTGGGAAATTCAATGGAAACGTCAGCTCAACTCATATGATTGTGGAAAAATTCTACTACCAGTCCATTATCACCTTACACGAAATAGGATGAATACACCCCATATAATTGATTTACTGGTAGTCCCGAAACTCTATTTATATACGAAAAATATATTTGCCAAAAAAAGTTGTGGGGCACCGAGGAAAGCAATAGAAGTTATTAAGTTAACTTAGTGCTAAACTATCAAAGGATATGAATTATATACATCTAATCTGTCACTTGTTACGGCCAGATCTGACAGCTGGAATATAAAACATAATTCACCTCGAAACCACGCAAGATAAAAGAACATTCAGAATAAGGGAGAACTGCAATTTCATCATGCCTTAACCCTACTTTCGACCCCAACGGGTTTTAAAAGTTTCCACTTTACAAAACTATTCTAGTGACTGATTCAGAGCAAGCAACCCCCCTGTCCTTATTTTGTGTGTTCGGTCATGTCTGCCATTGTAATCGCAACTACGACTACAACGATAGAAGTATTCTGGCATAACTGGCATTAT